AAATAAATTTGAAGAGCAAGGGACAGTTTCTCCCTGAAAGTCAACAGCAGCACTACCACCATGAGCATGATCAGCTGGGTTTTAATAGACCACTGGCTAAAGCTGGAAATTAATTTTGTCCTCTTCAAACTCGTCAGCTTTATATAACAGCATATGCAAATGCTGCTGACTTTAGGCAGGTGCAGAGAAAGGCCAGCTGAAGCAGACAATTATGTCCAATTGAAGACGCTGAAAAATATATATTTACATCTGAAATTGGTGTCTCACTTGCACTTTCCTCTGGCAGTTATGTAGCATCAGATCCGCTTGTGCATTTTGGGTTGGACAGACGTCAGATGAATAATGCCTTGTGTGGGTGGCAAAGCATAACAAGGGCATGGGCAGGGGCCTTGTAATTTCTGCATTTCCCCTGTTGACTTGGTCTTGTCTGAATCGTTCGTGTCTCCAAAAGAGCTGCCTGCAGATGTGCACTGCTAAAGTGCCAGCCCTCGGATGCGAATGGAGGGATGAGTTAACACCAGCATTGTACCAATGATGATGTGTGTACAGCTAATAACCTCAGCCAAAAAGGACAACTTTTGTCAACCGGTGTGCAGAAAAAATGCAGAAGTATATCATATTGGAGCTGCTGTATCCCACTGCATCCTGAATTCTGGTCTGTGACAGAGCACTATGTCTTTATTAGCAAATTAGAGACTGCCAGGAGTCATTCTGGCCACGGAGCCAACTGATAAGTGCTGGCCACATCCRTACTACTAAATGCTTTCGTTGAAGTATGTGTCTGCGTACAAGCTGCTGACGTCTCCGGCCAGCGTTAACGCCTRTGCTTGCTGGATCTGAGCCGAGTGCTCATCTGAGTGGGTCAAAACCATGCCGGGGTGTCCGAACAATTTACCAGCGCGGTTGGTGGAGCTCTAGCACATTGGCTTTGCCTTGGCAYGGCATCGTTGGATGGTTTAGATGCTCCCAGAGCATATCCAGCGGCACAAAGATGCCAAAGAAGTTGCCCGATGAGCTTGTGATGTGAATAAATACTGATTCTGTTCAAAAAAATTTAAAAAAAGTAAAAACAAAAGCCCTCAAAGAGTATCTTCAGGCAAGAAGCTGAGACAYGTTAGGAAGCCAAGGAGATAAAAAACAAGCCATACCAATGCAACTCACTGGGCATCCCCAAGAATGTATCAAAAAGCAAAGTGACTCTGGGCAAAAAGGAGAGGAGGATCTGACTCTCAGTGTTGGGACTGGCGTGAACAAGTCCGCATGGTAATTTTACTTCCTGTGCTTTTGGCTTGGCAAAAGGTGTTGTTTGGCAAAAAACTTTACAGATAATTCCTAGTAGAAGTGGTGGTCACATCAAGGTATGAACTCGTTCTTCATAATTGTAGAGTAAATGCTTTATGTTAAGGCGGTAATGAAATCCTTCCAGATCAAAGAGTTCTCCAGGGTCAAGACAGGATCCCACTGGAAATCTTTCCTGAATTAGAATGCGAGTGGATATGGTTCAAAGCAAGGACTAACACCGGAGGCAACCAGCTTGTGTGGCTAAGCATAGTGCAACAGTCTTAATATGTTTGAAGAAGAGGTGCCAGCTGTTGTTCCCATCTCTACTGGGAGCCTCTAGGATGGAGGACTTCAGAGCAGGCATGTGTCAAGCCCTTTGTCAAGCTGGTTTAGCTGCAAGAAACTAGCACTGTGTTGAAAGGTAAGGGCACTTCTAGAGTGTTTCTCCAGGACCTGGAGGCCAGCAGTCACAGGAGTCCCCTTCCTGCAGGAAGGCAGACTGCCAATGCTCAGTAAAGGGTGTGATAGGCTCCTCTACTCTTCCCCCTTTCCTCTTCCTTTGATATTTCCTCTTCTTGTTGACCCACRTGGTTGTCTTGATGCAAAGTGGTTGGGTCCAGTCTTTCAGCGGCATGAAAGAGAGACTGATATCTCCAACTGTCTTCATGGTTTGTGGATTCAGCGAGGCCACCCTCTCCTTGTGCTTTTGGAAATGTGTGAGAGATTTCTTGGGGGAAATGCTGCCAAGGAGCACTGTGGTTACTCATCGTCCATCCCTTTCTCTTGCTTATGCCAAAGGAAATGTGCACATATGGGTGAGAGCTGCTCGTGGGAGGACTGAGAAGCACCTTTCCAACAGCCAAGAGCCTCGGGGAAGCCAACCAGAGTAAATCTGCACTCGTATTGAAGGCAAGTCCATTCATAAAAAGAAAATATGTTGGAGTGAAGTTCTGGGAAGAGAAATGCAGGCATGCTGTCCAGCGTTGGGCACCTTGGTCTTCTCATGCCCCTGGTGCAAAATTGTTCAGTACATGACACTGGCAAGTTCACTTCACAAATTATCTCTTTTTTTTTTTTTTTTTTTTAATGGAGATTGCACATGGATTAGGGGAGAAACAGTGGAAAACATTAGAAAACTTGAAAAGAAATGGGTTATTGGACACAATTAGCAAAGAAGGGAAATAAAGCTCTTCACAAATATATATAAATGTATATATATGTGTGTGTGTGTGCACAATAAAAAATAAATAAGGTAGGGGATGATGAGACAAAATCCCTCCCTTTTGCATGAAAATGTGACCATCACATTGATCATAATCAGAGCCCAGAAACATWTGCCTGAAATGGGGTTTGACTGGGAATTACAGTACCAGCGACAATTTGGCTTTTTATCAACTTTGCCGTGTATCTATAGTTTGGCGTGAATGAGTCCTGCCCTATTTAAAATGGACAGATCCTAGTTAAAAGTTTCCAATATAAAACAAAACTGAATAACTTAAAAAATAAAATAACCCAAAATAACATTTTCTCAGAACACTGCAAAGGATCACTGACTGAAAAAAATGTTTCTCTTCAGGTATATTCAGGCGAAGAAAGCATTCAGCTTCTTTAAACTGTTATATAAAATTTGTACTAGTTACTTTAAATACTACTAGAATTAAAAAAAAAAAAAAGAAAAACCACAATTGATTCCTCAAATTAAAAAAAAACAACAACACATAATCATAATTAAAAAATATCTCCCCCATGTTGATCTTCTCTTCAGAACAGGTCAACATAGGAGTTTTGCACCCTAGACAGTTACAGTATTTCTGGAATAAAAAAATTGCAATTGCACACAGAAAATACTACAGTATTCACTTAAAAATAGATTTTTTTGTTGTTGTTGTTGTTATCCCTCCATCCAGGTAGCGGGACGGAGGGATAGAAAAGATGCCCTGAAACGGGAACATTCCTTTAGAGGAGCAACCCTCTAGAAACGAGTAAACGCAACGAGGAAAACGCAACCCGCAATTGAGCTCGAAACAGCGATTTGAGCACGGGAACAAAATCGGAGCGATGCGAATGTTCACACACCGGGTTTTGTTTTGTTTTTCCCTTTTTTTTTCCTTTCTTTTTTTTTTTTTTTTCTTTTCCTTTTGGAAATGTCAAGCCAACCACGCGACCCTTCGCAGGCAACCGGCTACGCTCTTGCCCTTGGCGGCGGAATCTCGCGGCGTGGAGAGCGCTAAGCTAGACCTCGGTGCTCTCGCTACACGCTCGGATCTCCTGGGCTGTTGTTCCTTGCCATGTACTTACAGCAGAGGGTGACACAGGACAGTTCTAGCGGCTGTTTCCCCCCGCGCACCGAGTTGAAGAGTTCTCAGCTAAATCACAACAACAACATCAACGAAAATACAAAGCACCAAATCATCTCTAGATGTGAGTCAGTTACAGGTTATTACCGTTTGAAGAAGTTTTTTTTTCCTTTTTTTGTGTTTTTTTTGTTTTTAACTCCAGTTTTTGTATTTTGCTTTCCTTAATAATAATAATAACAATAATAATAATAATAAAAATCAAAAAACCCAAAACCCAAAAATGAAAAAAAAGAATGCTTTACAATCACTTTAAGGCTCGCACTGAATGAGACATGACAGGTCTTACACAAGATTACAAATAATACATGTATGCCTTTCACAGCCTTAAAATGATACAGTAGGTCAAATTATTTTGCCAGTCACTGATCAAGTATTGTGCCTTTGAATTGACTCGCTTTTTGCTACTATGCTGAGTTTTATTATTACTGAGATATTTATTAGACATACGCAAATCTGATTTAGCATAATGATTTTTGGTATATAAGTTTAATGTATAGAGATTTTGAATTTTTTTTGAWTTTTTTTTTTTCCAGAAATCAATGTGGCAGGCCTTATTCTGCACTCGGACCATTGGGATTTACTCCACTGAGGTCAACGGTGCAGTTGTTGGAACAAGATCAGATACCACATCTGGGGCAAAGCCACCACAGCCCCTCCACGCACCGAGAAGTGAGCACTTTTACAACAGCACTTGGCCAGGGCGTGCAGGCTTGGCCAAATGGTGTCATAAACATATTGCCAAATTATTTCTACAGACCCGATTTTGTCTTGCAACCACTTGGAAATCAGACTCCATGGGGGATGTCTTGGCTTTGCTTTCTTTAGACAATTTTTTTCCAGCTTAATCCAATAGGGTGAACAAGATATTTTTC